TGGACTGGAACAGGAGCAACCAGGACAGAACCAGTGCCCCAACCATGACTAGAACCCGGGATACCATGATGCAGGCAGAAGATTAACCTAGTGAGCCGCGGTGCCAGCCAAGGGGTCTTCCAAGCACCATTGTAATCAAATACAGCTCTCCATCAAATCATTTAATTTTTTTTAAAGATTTATTCATTTATTTGAAGGGCAGAGTTACAGAGAGAGGGAGAGACAGGGAAAGGTCTTCCACCGGTTCACTCCCCAAATGGCTACAATGACCAGAGCTGGGCCAATCTGAAGCCAAGAGCTTCCTCCAGATGTCCCACATGGGTGCAGGGACCCAAGGACCCAGGCCATCCTCTGCTGTTTTTCCACGTGTACCAGCTACCAGCAGAGAATTAGATCAGAAGTAAAGCATCTAGGACACAAACTGGCACTCATATGGGATGCCAGTGCTGCAAGTGGAGTCTTTCCTCCTTACACCACATCACTGGTCCCATCCTTTTTTTTTTTTTTTATTTGAAAGTCAAAGTTACAGAGAGAGAAGGAGAGGCAGAGAGAGAGAGAGAGAGAGAGGTCTTCCATCTGATGGTTCACTCCCCAGTTGGCTGCAATGGCTGGAGCTGCACCTAAATGAAACCAAGAGCCAAGAGCTTCTGGGTCTCCCATGCAGGTACAGGGGCCCAAGCACTTGGGCCATCTTCTCCTGCTTTCTTAGGCCATAGCAGAAAGCTGTCAGAAGTGGCACAGCTGGGACTCAAACTGGCACCCATATGGGATGCTGGCACTGCAGACAGTGGCTTTACCCACTATGCCACAGTGCTGGCTCCATCATTTATTTTCAACACTTGTTATCCTTTCCCTGAAATGGTTTAGTTCTAAAAAATAATTTCTCCTGAGTCCTATAAAATATTTTATAAGTATCTGTTATAATAAATGTTTATAACATTGGTATATTTATAGTTTGAAATTAAATATGATAATTCATGTAAATAGAATGAAGAATACATAAATTGAAACACCAGTTTAACAGTGCAACAGAAATAAATTCCCTTTGAAGACTAACAAGTGCAAATGGATATTGTTGGTTTGTACTTATTTTTATGTAGGATACAATAGGTTTCTTTAACTATTGTGATAATTATCAAGGCAGGTTATAGAACTGATCTTGGATCCATTGATAACTCATGGCACCTAAATATACACACTGATTCAAAATTCTTTGGATGCATTTATAAGTTATATAGATCAACTATAGGACTATTATGGGAAAATCCTTGAATGACTATTTAAAGAGATTTTACTATAGAATCATTGAATTTCAAAACCAGAATTCTAATAAAGGATTGATAAATAATGAATACTGAGCTATTACAATCATCACCCTTCTGTTCTCAAAATCTGAGTTATAAGGAAAATGGGCAAGAAGAAAGGGCTAATTTAAAAGCTAATTGTCCAGAAAATGTTCTCATTGTGTTATGATGTATTTAATAAATCAAATTCTACTTATTTAAATGGGGATTAACAAGTACTAAATGAAAGAAGAATATTAATATAAAGTCTTTAAATCCATTTAAATTGTAATGTAAGATATTCTGAATATGTATGAGAGTTCTATAAATTGAATTTCTTAAAAATATCAATTTAACTATTAGATCTGCATTCATCAAATACCTTTTTGAACTTCCTGCCAGAGATCGAAATGTGAGTGTCACTGTTGCTGCTGCTGCTGTTGTTGTTGTTGTTGTTTGTTGTTGTTGTATAATCCAGAATAGTTATACTGTGATGCTTGTACCCACGTGGGAGACCTGGAGGAAGCTCCTGTTTCCTGGCTTCAGCCTGGCTCAACCTTGGCTTTTGCAGTCATCTGGGGAGTTAACCAGTGCATGGAAGATCTCTCTGCCTCTGTCTATTCCTCTCTGTAACTCTGCCTTTCAAGTAAATAGGTATAATCTTTTAAAAAAAAAAAAATTATCTGGGGCCAGCACTGTGGCGCAGCAGGTTAACACCCTGGCGTGAAGCGCCAGCATCCCATATGGGAGCCGGGTTCTAGTCCCAGCTTCTCTTCTAATCCAGCTCTCTGCTATGGCCTGAGAAAGCAGTAGAAGATGGCTCAAGTCCCTGGGTCCCTGCACCCGTGTGGGAGACCCAGAAGAAGCTCCTGGCTCCTGGTTTCAGATCGGCGCAGCTCTGGCTGTTGCGGCTAATTGGGGAGTGAACTATCGGACAGAAGACCTCTCTCTCTCTCTCTCTCTGCCTCTCCTCTCTCTGTGTAACTCTGACTTTCAAATAAATAAATCTTTTAAATGGGCATTTATCAGCAAGATTTTTTTTAATCTTTGGGCCAATCTGGCTTTGGGTCAAGTCTATTTTCTTCCTTTAGTTCATCTAACTCAGCCACAACCCTCAAACTCTTAACAAATATGCTACTATTTTTTAAAAATTCTATTTTGGTTTAACTGTTTTTTAAATATATATCCCAATTAATATACTTTCTTTTTTGAGCACTTTTAGTTTCCAATACAGAAAAATTGAATAGAAAGGGAAGTTCCCATCTAGCCCTCTCCCCTGACTCCACAATTTTGGTCATTTCTCCTACTATTAACATCTTTTATTAGTGTGATATATTTATGGCAATGGATGAACCAATACTGATACAAGGTTCACTAAAGTCCATGGTTTTCATTAAGATTCATGCTCTGAACTTTCTGTGGGTTAGTACAACTTACACATTCTTTGGGTTTTGACAACTACATAGTGCTGTGTTTCAGCAGCACAGTACCATGCAGAATAGTTTCACTGCCTCAAATGTTCTATCATCCCTCCTTCCCTACTCCAGAATCCATGACAATTACTTATCTTTTTACTATCTCCATGGTTTTTCTTTCTCCAGGATATTGTAGGATTGGAATCATATAATATGAAGCCTTTTCAGATTGTTCATTCAGCAATATGTATTTAAAGTTCCTCTGTTTTTGTTTCGTGGTTTGATCCCTTCTTTAATTTTTTGATCCCTTCTTTTTATCATCTAATAATATACCATCGTGTGATACACCAGTTTGTTTATCCATTACCCTATCAAAGGACATTACAATTGCTTCTGAGTTTTGGTACTTATAAAAAAAATCTAATATTCATGTGTAGGTCTTTGTGTGGTCAGAAGTTTTCAACTCATTTGGGTTAATACAAAAGAATGTTAATTGTATTATCATATGTAAGAGTAGATTTTGTTTGTAAGAAACTGTCAAAATATCTTCCCAAGTGGCTATGCCTCTTTGCAGTCACACAAGTAATGAACGAACATTTTTGTAGTTTCACATCACCATCAGAGTTTAGTGCTGTCAGTGATTTGGATTTTAGCCATTCCAACAGATGTGTAGTGATATCTCACTACTGTTTTGATAATTAAATGATACATGATGTGGAGCACTTCTTATGTGCTCATTTGACATCTGTATATCTTCTTTGGTGAAATGTCTGTTCGGACTTTTTGTCCATTTTGGATTAGATTGTTTTTATTATTGAGTTTGAAGAGTGCTTTGAATATTTTGCATACCATTCTTTATCAGATAATGTGTTTTGCAAATTTGTTTTTGGCTTGGCTTTTCATTCCCTTAACAATGTCTTCCACAAAACATAAATTTTGAAGTTTTAATTAAACAGCTTACATAAATTGTGTTTTAGGCTTTCATATCTTAAAAAATTTGCATTATGAAATGTATGAACTTTGTATATCTTAATAAAAGGTTTCTGGGTAAAAAAAATCATCAAACACAAAATCACCTAGATTTTCTCCAATCTTGCAGGAGTTTTATAGTTTTGCTTTTTAAATTTACATCTATAATCCTTAATTTTTGTAAAAAGCACAAAACCTTGTATCTAGATTCCTTTATTTTGTTTTTTGCATGTGTATTTCAGCTGTTTCAGTATCATTTATTGAAAAGACTGTCCTCTCTTTTGGGTTGTCTTTGTTCTTTCAAAAACCAGTTGACTAGATCTGTGTGTATTTCTGAACTCTCTATTCTGGAGTTTATTCTATCAGCTATAACTCTGGTTATTTAGTCGTTTGTTTCATAGCATTATTCATTATAACTCTGTTCCTATGAAAGAAAGTGTAGATTTCTTCCATTTTTAATATTTAATTTCCCTTTAAGTGAAACAGTAATTTATACTAAACCTGTCTTACAGTATGTTTTTTTCTATAGAGAAGGGTTGCTGCTATCCTGATCATTACTACCATGATAAAATAGGATGTAGCAAGATTTGGCTCATTTTGTGTTCATTTGAATCTGAGGTCTGTGCTCCAAATCTGTAGTACTTAATGCAAATTATTTCATCAAGAATCAGCTTCTGCACTAAAGTAATGGAAGCAATTATGCACACCAATCAGCACTTCGGTAAAAATTAAATGATGAAATTCTTTCAGAAGGACTTTTGAAAAATGTGAAATCCTAAAGAAATGTTGTCAGGTTTATTGAATAAGAAAACTTGGAGAGTTTTAAAAGATCAGTACATCCAGCTGCCATCAGACAATTGATTTAAATCAGCAATGAAAGCATTAAGATATTAAACACTGTAAGAATGCTTTTATAAGCACCTTCCAAAGAAAAGGATTCCACAAAATTCTGTCAAACTGTACTAAGGTTTGTCACTCTAAACTATATATATATATAGTGTGTTTAATTCTCTCATACTTTACTATTTTTATTCTATCTTTAGTGGAAAAGCTGATTCCCCTTATATTTTGTTACTATGACTATGAATATTTGGGTAATAAATAGCTGATATGGGTGTGTGGATGACTGACAGGTAGTCTTCTTGAGAGACTTAGCAAGATGAAGACAGATTAGTCAATTACAGGTATCAATCATCAAGACAGCAACGTCTACAATACTTTAGAAACGTTTGAATTAAAAGTCAGCTCTTAGAGAACTGCATTCTTGTATTAGTCTACTTGTGGTGCTACAACAAAACACCTGAGACAGAGTAATTTACAAAGAACAGAAATTTATTTCCTCACAACTCTGGAGGCTGGGAAGTTCAACCTCATGACCGTGGCATTAGTCTCATGAGGGCCTTCTTGCTGCATCCTCCTGTGGCAGAAGACAAAAAAAGTGAGGCATAACATCTTTTTTATGAGAGCCTTAATCTCATTCATGCAGGATCAACCTTTGAGGCTAAATCACCTCTGATAAGGCCAATGTCTTCACACTACTACATCAGCAATACCTGGATTTTAGAGGGGACACACTCAAAATACACAACTTCTTTCAACTTATCTATTTTCATTCATCCTCTCACTAGTTTATTAATGCAGTCAATAAAGAGTTAATACGTTTCTGCTCCCCATAATCTCCCACTGGGTTGGGTACTATGGAAAAATAAAAATAGGCTGGAAACAAATATGTCAGCTCAAGACCTTTGCAGCTGAAATGATCAATGCTATACTGACTTTTTGGTCCTATGGCTTCCTCAGGTAAATGGCATTCTTTTTGAGTATTGAGTATGGCCACAGGGAAGGAGGGGGCTTCCAGGTAGAGGGAAAGGCATACGCAAAAGCATAGCAGTTTGGGGTCTCTTGGCCATCCCTCTGTCCATTTCTTTTTTCCATTCCTCTAAAATACAGCAATTGGTCAATGTGGACAGACTCTCCTGTTCTCTCTTCCATAAATGGAGCTCAGTGCTGGTGCAGTGATAAAGGAACATATACACGGATGCCATTCTGTAGAACTCGTTGAGTTGGCCAGCTATTTGCTCAGCTGAGGGAAAGAAATGAATGGCAAGTATATAAATCTAACACATTATTATTCAGCAAGTAAATGTCACTTTTGAGGAAGCCCTCGAGTTAAACTTCCACACTTTTCTTAAATCATAGACATTTTATTTTTTTCAAAAATGAGATGTCAAGTGATTAGAGATACTATAAATGTAAAAGCCCTCTGCTATGCACAAACTGAAATACATTAAAATAAAATTCATGTTTTTCACATACTATTTTTTCATGTTAAACCTAAATATCTTCAAAATGTTCCAACCACACAGTGCTATTGGTCATCAAGTGAATTTCCTAATTTAGGTCTTAAATATGAGCTTTAATTTAAAGAAATGACTACATCTATCTCTGAGGCTTTTCACGTGCAAGATTCCACATCTCTAATTCCTCAGATTAAAATCGACAAAGAGATGATGGTATGGGATTAATTTCAAGAGCTCTAGTATCTACTTGGAGTAAATTGATGGGCTATGCAGATTAACCTGAGGATTAGCCTCACAGTTACACATATAGCCAATATGCTGAAATGCTGCATGCAGTTGAGTTTTTAATGAATCTTTCTTGATTAAATCTTTTAGCTGTATCTTTCAAAAACAGAGCAACCAAGTCCTTGATTTGATCTATGTCAAATGAATATCACATGCTTCAGAAACTAAAGTAAGACCAACTGCTATATCAGACTCACTACTGGTATCGTCCACTTTTTCAGCTCACCCATCTCAGGAAAACATTTTTTTTTTTTTTTTTTGACAGGCAGAGTGGACAGTGAGAGAGAGAGACAGAGAAAGGTCTTCCTTTTTCCGATGGTTCACCCCCCAATGGCCGCTTCGGCCGGCGCACTGCGCTGATCCAAAGCCAGGAGCCAGGTATTTCTCCTGGTCTCCCATGGGGGTACAGGGCCCAAGCACTTGGGCCATCCTCCACTGCACTCCCGGGCCACAGCAGAGAGCTAGACTGGAAGAGGAGCAACCAGGACAGAATCTGGTGCCCTGACCGGGACTAGAACCCAGTGTACCAGCACCGCAGGCGGAGGATTAGCCTATTGAGTCGTGGCGCTGGCCTCAGGAAAACATTTTTAATGTATCTCCAATTATATACATTTGTTTACAAATTATATCTGTTACTTATTGTATATACTAAGTTGATCTTCTGTATATAAAGATAATTAAAAATGAATCTTAATGAAGAATGGGATGGAAGAGGGAGTAGGAGATGGGATGGTTTGTGGGTGGGAGGGTAGTTATGGGGGGAAAAATCTCTATAATCCAAAAGTTGTACTTCTGAAATTTATATTTATTAAATAAAAGTTTAAAAAAATAAAGAATAGATTTTAAAAAGTTCTATTTTTAACAATGAATAAAGATAATATGTGATTGAGTGATATTGGTGGTTTTAGTCTATCATTAGTTAAGACTCAAGCCATAGTGTATACTTAGTGTGAAGGCATGTATGAATGAGGTTTAAACATGTAGGTATGTATATTTCCCACCACTGTGCAAGCAATGATTTTAGGCTGAGAACATCAAAATGGATTGTGGCACTACTAATTACTAATAAGTAATAATTCAAGCACATTTAGGAATAGGTTCAAAGTAGACAACACTTTGTCTCTTCTTATTTATTATGTTTTCCATATATCTGAAGAGAATGGAAACGTTATTTTTTGGTCATGAACCTAATTTGAAAGCATTTAGAACCTGATCAGCGTTAGCATTGGTCTAGCTGACATCAAAACCTCCCCAGTTCTCCCTCCGGGCTGAGCTCCACCTTTATCTATTATGTTTCCTCCTGGATTAAAAAGTTCTCTTTTTTATATTTCACGTTTATACAGCAAACTTGACATTATTTTAGGAAGGACAATGTTCACTAATGGAAAAACACTTGCTTTGTAAAGGGCTCTGCACTAATTATGATGCTTAGCAGTGCATTTCATAAAGCAAGATGCCTTGGCATGACCCCAAGCTTGGCACTCCTGTGTGCTTCTCTTCCCTGGCTATTCAAATTTCTTGCATTTTTCAGGCCACAGTCACAATATGTGTCACATTCTTCTACCATCTATAATATTCTTATTTCATATTTGAAGCACAAATCTTTTAAACTTAATTATAACCTGAGCTAATTACTCAAAAATCAATTTTATGTGCTGGTTTTTCCAATAATTTATAATTACATATGAAACTTATATTCTTATCTCCCAATGTCATGCACAATATGCTTTGGAAAACAAATGCCCGAAGGCAAGGCCCCAGACCCTGGTAAGAGGGTGAAGGGAAAGCCCAGCCAGTTATTTCCTGAACACACATAGTTATTTCTGAATCTGGTTTCCTTCAACTAATGGAAGAATTGTCTATTTCAGCTATAATATTTGACATTCTTATGAGATATATTTTATATATTTTCTGAGTTTGCTGCCTGAAACATCTCCCAGAATACCTATTTACTTTAAACACACCCAAGAAAACCTGAATGTTGGTCATGGTAATATAGCCTGATTATTAGCATGATTTGCATATAACAGTACAGTGGGATTTTTCAGTCATGTAATGTGGGCTCTTTGTCTACTCTACCAGGATCTTTAGTCTTATGGGAACTTTAAGAATATAATTATGGAATTTATAATGACTTAAGTACTTTAAGATATTTCCATAGAATTTAGACACAATTGACAATCTGTTTTTAAAATTTTTTTGAAATAATCTTGCTTAGGGATAATAATTTTATCTTATGTGTTATTTTGTTTGAATTCTTTCAGATTAAATAAAGGATGCATGATTACAATATGTGGCAGGTTTTCATAGGCTACCCATAATAATGAACTTCATTACTGTATATCTTCCATAAAATAGAATTCTTTTCTTCAAAGGTTTTACAAACTTAATAGGGTTGCAAAACTAATAGATATGAACCAATACATGAAAAAGTAAGTGTATCTTATGGAACTAATGTAATCATATCAGTTAATTTATTATGTTTCATATTGGTTCAAAAGTCAGTATTAGAATTCTTTTATCCTCTTGGTTTACTTTCTCATGTAAAAGTATTAAAATGATTATTTTGTTGATAGTTGCCTGATAAATGTTACATAAAATAATTCTGGGCTCAGATTCCCTTCAAATTTTTTTTCCCTCTTATGCCTATTTAGGCCAACTGGACCATGGAATAATCATATAGAATAAGAAATGGATCAAAATTTCTGAATTTAATTTGGCTTCCTATGTGGAAAGAAGATTAAAGTTGCTAACTGGAATTGATACTTTGTACATATGATATTGTAGTGTAATAAAAAGAAAAAAATTCCTTAGGAAAATACATAAGGAAAATGTGAGAAAATAAAGGCAAAACATGTAAGAGTACTTCAAAAAGTTCAAATAAAATTGAATTACAAAGTAAGTTTATTTTGGTGCAAAATAAAATTCATGTATATGAAGGTTTTCAAAAACTTCATGGAAAATGTATATAATGAAAAACAATGCACAGATTTGTACTTCTTTTTGCACTCAAGTATTATTCTTTAATTGTGCTTTCCATGAACTTTCTGAAGACCTTTGTACTATATTCTGAAATTATTATTTTTTTTACAACTCTTAAAATAGAATTTTTTATTCAATGGACTGAATTGACTAAGAAGCCCATGTTAGGGCTTATTGTGCAAATAAGCCATCAGTACAATGATACATTGGCTTCATAAACTTTTAAGATATGTGAATAGGGGATTGGTATGGAATTCTTACCTTTATGTCAATCAAATAACAGGTTTTTATACAATAGAGTGCATTTTATGCTTTAAATTTGTAGTTTATAAACTTTTTTAAAAAAAAAAATTATTTGAAAGAGAGAGAGAGAGAATCTGCCATCCACTGGTTCACTGCCACAATGGTTGGGGTGGGGCAGATCCAAAGCCAGGAGCAGGAGCTTCTTCTGGGTCTCCCACCTGGGTGCAGGGGCCCAAGCACTTGGACCATCTGCTGCTGCTTTCTCAGTCCATTAGCAGGGAGCTGGATTAGAAGTGGAGCAGCCAGAACAGGAACTGGAGCCCAAGGGGATGCTGTCATCACAAACGTTAGTATTACCTGCTATACCAAGGCACTGGCACCAAATATAAAGTTTTACTTGAAGATCTTGAAATGTTCCAAAGTTTTACTTTAAAAGATTTGTTTATTTATGTGTGTGTATATGTATACATGTATTTGAATGGCAGAGCAATGGAGAGAGAGGAAGGGACAGATCTATCTGATGATTCACTCCCCAAATGACCATAATAGCCAGATATGGGTCTGGCAAAAGCCAGGAGCCAAGAACTCTATTCTGGTCTCCCACAGGTGTGGCAGGAGCCCGAGTGCTGGGCCATCTTCTGCTGGCCTTTCCAGGCCCATTGGGAGGGTTTTGGATCAGAAGCTGAGCAGCTGGAACTCACATAGGTGCTCGATATAGGATGCTGGCATCGCAAGCTATGGCTTAAGCTGAGGCACCACAACACCAGGTCCATGTTTTGCTGATTTATATCCACAGCACCAATAGTATTGCCATCCAAATGCTAGACAATGTGGGGACTTGTTTTTTCTAGCTTGCACAGGAGAAAGGGAAGCTAGATTTTAGGGATCTGACTTCCTGTCAAAATGTCTCTCATATATGTCTTCATGGGTACACAGTACCAGGGGGAGGCCTGGCTTCAAGCAAATCAAATGATAATATTTTAAACTTATGTGCTTAGAATATAGCCACGTGCCTATCTTATTTGGATTGTAAGTATTTTATTACAAATAAGCATAACTTCTTAATTTTATCTGTAAGATAATTTAAGTGAAAATTAATATTTCTGTCTGAAATTTTAATAATTTGCTCTGTTGCCATTTCATCATAACCAACAAACACAGTACAAAAAAGTCCTCTGTATAATCTAGGCTATATGTTGTAATTCAGAAGTAAAATGAAAAAGTTTATTATAATATAAATTCATAATGACATACTAGTGTAATCATCACTTCTGAACTGATACAGGTTTTTTTTTTTTTCTTTTTAACCTCTTTTTCTCTGATCAAGATTACCTCTATATGTGGAGGTTTTCTGGGTTTGCTTTCTCATTTAATACATTTTACCTTGAGCTTCAATCTATAATTCATATATAAGAGTATCAAAGTCTTAAAGTTCTTTTAAAATCCTGCCCACACTTGAACATGGACTCTCTCAACAAATAGTTTATGTGAGAAAGAGTATTTAGGCCAAGCAAGGTGTTCAGGAAAGGCTTCCTGGAGATGTCATTTCTTTTTTTTTTTTTAAGATTTATTTATTTATTTGAACGGCAGAGTGACATAGAAAGATCGTCCATCCACTGGTTCACTCCCCAAATGGCCACAACGGCCAGGGCTCAGCCATGCTGAAGCCAGTAGCCAGGAACTTTTCTGGGTCTCCCATGTGGGTGGCAGGGTCCCAAGCACTTGGGCCATCTTCCATTGCTTTCTCAGGCATACTAACAGGAAACTGGATGAGAATTGGAGCAGCCAGGACTCATCCTGTGCTCACACAGGGTTCTGGCATCTCAGGCTGCAGGTTAACCTGTTGTAGCACAATCATGGCCCCAACATAGACATATTTTTACAGCTCGTATTCAGTATTACCAATGCCTTTTTTTTTTTTTTTTTTTTGACAGGCAGAGTGGACAGTGAGAGAGAAAGACAGATAGAAAGGTCTTCCTTTTGCCGTTGGTTCACCCTCCAATGGCCGCCACGGCCAGCGCACTGCGGTCGGCGCACTGCGCTGATCCGAAGGCAGGAGCCAGGTACTTATCCTGGTCTCCCATGGGGTGCAGGGCCCAAGCACCTGGGCCATCCTCCACTGCGCTCCCGGGCCACAGCAGAGAGCTGGCCTGGAAGAGGGGCAACCGGGACAGAATCCGGCGCCCCGACCGGGACTAGAACCCGGTGTGCTGGCGCCGCAAGGCAGAGCATTAGCCTAGTGAGCCACGGCGCTGGCCCTTAACAATGCCTTTTAAAGCATCTGAGCATTTTGCACTTTTACCAGTGAGGTGAAAGTGAAAAGTACAGCTGAAATTCACATTGTCCTTACTTTTTGATAAAGAAAAACATCATTGCAATGTAAATAGGTGTAAGATTATTGATATGTTTAGAGTAGTCATTTAATAGTGTGTGTGAGAACAAAAAGTTCATGCACTTTTTTTATCATATGCATTTCCATAAGATTTTGATGACATTGCCTCTTGAATGAATTTAAAAATATTAGCACCAATGTAAGTATATATTTCAATTTCATTTTCATGAACATTTTTAAGTACTCTCAAGTACAAATTAATAGTCTTCGCACCTTCAGTTAGTACATTTTCCAGAATTAATGCTAACCGTACCTTGCATTTTTGCTGTTTCTGCCCTCTTCCTTTACACTGTCGTGATGTGAAGCCAATTTCTTCTAAGAAGGGTGATTGTATTGGTAGATAAAAATACAAAGCATATCTGCAGGAAAACTCAATTCCATGACTTGATATAACATTAAAATAATTCTATACAAAATTAAACCTCAAGGGTATTATTCTGTCTACACTGAATTTGATTTTATGCACATATACACACACTTATAGTTAATATTTCTGAAATGTAGATTAGCAAACCTCCCATGGACAAATACTCAAAGTTTGTGGAAAATGGAATTAAAAGATAATTATATATGATTGCAAAAATCTTGAAATTCATGCATATTTTTCATAATACATATTTCCATGAACTTTTTGAAGACTCCTTGAAAAGTCAAATGTAAGTTTTATAAGTTATGAGAATGTTTTCTAAATATACTGAATAGACATTTTTGTACAATTAGTGTGTTCACTGTTTAATCCCTTCATTTATCCTAGGTTTTCTGATGTAACCAAAAACCCAAGAGACTGCTTCTTGCTTACTTAGCGCCTATGGCAGAGAACTTCATGACAATAAAGCTTCATTAGATCACAAATGAAATTCAGGTGATAACTTACTTCTGGAAATGCATTATTTCTCTTAAATGTTTGATATCTTTTAAACAAACATATTTAAGACATGTTTCAGAGCTCTCCTTTCCAGGATTTGGTTAACAAATAATTACCACAGGCGAGTGTTAAGCATCATTCAGTAATTTAAACATTTGGCCCCAGTGAGCAAGATAATGTTTTCATCTGCTTTGCTATCATGTTAGAGTCCCCAACCATCACTGCAATTTCTGAAGTTGACCCCAGGTTTTCCATACCTATTTGCTACCCTCTCCACAAATCAAAATGCATTCTCTTTGCCTTTATCTTGATTTACTCTAATTACCAGAGCAAGACAGCAGGAGCCCCCAGAGAAATGCACATTGTGGTAAAAAAGTTCATGTTGCAGAATGAGGAGGATCTACTCTTCATGAATAATGTTTGTTTAGTAAAAAAAATTAGTTTTTGGGTTATTTTCTCCCTAACACTTTATGCTTTAAAATATATTAACTATTCACTTAAACTGTACACCATATGGTATATATACACTATTATACTATTACATATACCATATACATACTACTGTAAATGTGTGTATGTGTGTGCATCTATAGAGGAAGCTTCTGGCATGAAGTTTGCACAGAGTATTCTGACCAAGTTCTTTATCTATTTTTTGCAAGTGAATATTGAAGCAAACTTTAATGAATAAAAGGACACCTGACAGATCAAGTGGGCATCTCGGGAAAGAACTGAGAGCCAATCCAGCTATTTTAACATGCAGATGTTTTGATGCCATATTTATAATTACAAGTGGGTAAATAATAATACACGTGAATTTTTTCTGAAACAGTATATCCCAGAGTGAATGCTTTAATTTTTTAATTTTAATTTTAATTGGTTTATAACAGATTCAATGCAACTTATAGATACAATTTTAAGAAAATAATGATATTCCCTTTCACCCTCCCTCCGTCCTCTCTGCTTTCCCGCCTCTTTCCTTCTCCCCCCACCCCCTCCTTTTTTTGGTTTTGGAGATAACCTATTTTAAAATTACATTACAGTAAAAAGGCTTAATACTTCACCAAATAAGTTTAACAAGTAAAAAGCAAAAAGACCCTATTTTAGTGAAAATATAGACAATGGATATATACAGTAATTGAATGGAAAAATTATCATTTCACCTATATAGAGTAGATTTTAAAGTAATCACAGATCATTAAAATATTAGTGTAACTATAACACAGTAGATGTAACTATATAGTTAGTTATATACACATATAACTATAGTTATAAAGAAGTAGTATAATAATTGTCTTTAAAATTTATTTATTTATTTATTTTTTGACAGGCAGAGTTAGACAGTGAGAGAGAGAGACAGAGAGAAAGGTTTTCCTTCCATTGGTTCACCACCCAAATGGCTGCCACGGCCAGAGCTGTGCCAATCTGAAGCCAGGAGCCAGGTGCTTCTTCCTGGTCTCCGATGTGGGTGCAGGGGCCCAACCACTTGGGCCATCCTCCACTGCCCCCTCCCCTGGGCCACAGCAGAGAGCTGGACTGGAAGAGGAGCAACCGGGACAGAATCTGGCGCCCCAACTGGGGCTAGAACCCGGGTTGCCAGAGCCGCAGGCAGAGGATTATCCTAGTGAGCGGCAGCGCCAGCCAAATTTTTATTTTGATAGAGTTGGACAGAGAGAGAAACAGAGAGAAAGGTCTTCCTTCCATTGGTTCACCCTCCAAATGGCTGCCTCAGCCTGAGCTGTGCCTATCCGAAGCCAGGAGCCAGGCACTTCCTCCAGGTCTCCCATGTGGGTGCAGGGGCCCAAGCACTTGGGCCATCCTCTACTGCCCTCCCGGGTCACAGCAGAGAGCCAGACTGGGAGAGGAGCAACTGGGACCAGAACCTGGCACCCATGAGGGATGCCAGCACCACAGGCAGAGGACCAACCTGGTGCCCATAGCGCCAGCCCCAATAATAATTCTAACCATTAGTTTGACAAAGTTATAAAACACAGTTTTACAAAACTATATTTGTAGCAATACTAATACACACAGACATTTCCTCTTTTTGGTTCTTTTTCAAATTTTAGTTCCCACATATGAGAACATGCATTATTTGTCTTTCTAGGTCTTGCTTATTTCACTCAACACAATGTACTCCAGTTGCATCCTTTTTGCTGCAAATGGTAGAATGTCTTACTTTTTTTATAACTGAAGAATATTCCATTTTGTGTATATACTACATTTTCTTTATCCATTCATGTGATTATGGACACCTTGCTTGGTTCCAAATTTTGGCTGTTGTGGACAGTGGTGCAGGTATCTTTTTGGTACACTGTGTTCAAATCTTTTGGGTATATACCCAGTAGTGGATCATATGGTAAATCTATTTCTAGTTTTTTAAAAAATCTCCACACTATTTTCCACAGTGACTGCAATAATTTACATTTCTACCAACAGTTTGTAATTGTCGCCTTTGTCCCTATTCTGTCCAGTGTTTGTTACTCTTTGGTATTTGGATTTTAGCCATTCTGACAGGAGTGAGATGTTACCTAATTGTGGTTTTGACTTGCATTTCCCCAATAGCTAGTAATGTTGAGCATTTCTTCATGTATTTGTTGGTCCTTAATATTTCCTCTTTTAAGAACTGTATAATGGCTGGCGCTGTGGCTCAATAGGCTAATCCTCCACCTACGGTGCTGGCACCCTGGGTTCTAGTCCCGGTCAGGGCGCCGGATTCTGTCCTGGTTGCTCCTCTTCCAGTCCAGCTCTCTGCTGTGGCCCAGGAGTGCAGTGGAGGATGGCCCAACTCCTTGGGCCTTGCACCCACATGGGAGGCCAGGAGAAGCACCTGGCTCCTGGCTTCGGATCAGTGCGGTGACCAGCCACAGTGCGCTGGCCGCAGCGGCCATTGGGGAGTATACCAAAGGAAAAGGAAGACCTTTCTCTCTGTCTTTCTCACTGTCCACTCTGCCTGTCAAAAAAAAAAAAAAAAAACTGTATATTGAAGTCCTTTGCCCATTTATCAACTGAATTGATTGGTTTTTTTGTTGAGTTTAAGTTACTAATCTATTTGTGATATTAATCCTTTGTCAGGTGGCTTGCAAATATTATTTCCCTTTCTGTTGGATGTTTCTCCACTCTGACTGTTTGCTTTGCTGTGCAAAAGCTTCTGAGTTTGATATTGTCCCATTTGTGTAGTTTTGCTTTTGTTGCCTGTGCTCTGGGAGTCTTGTCCAAGAAGTCATCTCCTATACCAAGGACTTGGTGTGTTTCCCCTACATCTTCTTCCAGCAACTTCATAGTATCAAGTCTTCAGTTTAGATCTTTGATCTGTCTTGAGTTGATTTTTGTACGTGGTGAGGGGTATGGATATAATTTCATTCTTCTGCATATATACATTCAGATTTTCCAGCACCATATGTTGAAGAAACTATCCTTACTCTGCTGTATAGTGTGAGCTCTGGTCAAAAATCAGTTAGCTGTATGTGTGTGGATTAACTTCTGGGCTCTCTATTCTATTCCACTGATCTCTGAATCACTTTTTATGCCACTACCAAGCTGTTTTAAGTACTATACATTATGCTTTGAAATTAGGTATTGGGATACCTCCAGCTTGGTTTTTCTTGGTCTTTGGCTATTCAGGGTCTTTGTGATTCCATGTGAATTTTAGGATTGTCTTTTCTAACTCTGTAAAAATGCCATTGGTATTTTGATAGGTATTGCAATGAATCTGTAAACTGCTTTAGGTAGTATAGACATTTTAATAATATTGATTTTTCAGATCTGTGAGCAAGGAATATTTCCATTTTTTTGTGTCCTTGATTTCTTTCATCAGTGCTATTTATTTATTTATTTAAGAGGTATAGTTACAGACAGAGGGAGAGAGAGAGAGAAAGACTTCCATTAACTGGTTCACTCCTCAAGTGGCCGCAATAGCCAGAGCTGAGCTGATCCAAAGCCAGGAGCCAGGAGTTTTTTCTGGGTCTCCCACATGGGTACAGGGGCCCAAGCCCTTGGGCCATCTTCCACTGCTTTCCCAGGCTATTATTAGGGAGCTGGATTGGAAGAGGAACAGCCAGGACATGAACTGGCACCCATATGAGATACTGGTGCTGTGGAAGGAGGCTTAGCCTGCTATGCCACAGCTTCAGCCCCCTCATCAATGTTTGATAATTTTCATTGCAGAGATCTTTCAGTTCTTTGGTTAAATGTATCCCTAAATATTTATTCTTGGGGCTCTTGGGAATGAGATTTCTTTCTTGAGTTCTTTTCCTGTGAGTTCATCATTAGCATATAAAAAACTGTTTCGTATATGTTTATTTTGTAACCTGCAGCTTTACTGAATTGGTTTACCAATTTTAACAGCTTTTTGGTGGAATGTTTAGGTTTTCCTATGTACAACATCATGTCATCTGCAAACATGGATAATTTGACTTCCTCTTTCTCAGTTTGATGACCTTTATTTCTCCTCCCTAATTCTCTTGCTAAAACTACTATACTGAATAAGAGTGATGA